AATAAATTTTAAAAAGGGCACTTTAAAATGAGTGAAAAGACAACTCACAGAAGAGGAGAAAATATTAGCAAACCATTATATCTGCTAAGGGTCTAGTATCCCTAATATATAATGAATTCTTACAACTCAACAACATAAAGACAAACCATTTACAAAATAGCCAAAAGACTTGAATAGACACATTTCCAACGAAAATGTACAAATGGCTGACAAGTACATAAAAAGATGCTCAACATCATTAGTCATTAAGGAAATGAAATTCAAAAACTACTTTATGCCCACTAGGATAGCTATAATAGGAAAAACAGAAAAAAAACGAGTGTTGATGGGGGTGTGGAAAATTTTAAATTCTTGTACATTGCTCTTGGGAATGTGAAATGGTGTAGCAACTAAGGAAAAGTTTGGTGGTTCCTCAATAAGTAAAGCATAGTACTGCCAATATAACCTAGCAATTCCACTCCTGGGTATAATAATACAAAGACATGAAAACAGGGAACTGAACAGATATTTGTATACAAATCGTCTTAACAGCACAATTACCAAAAGGAGGAAACAACCCAAATGTCCATCAACAGAATGAATAAAATGTGGCATACACACACACACACACACACACACACACACACACACACACACACAAATTATTATTGAAGCATAAAATGAAGTACTGCAACATGCTACATCATGGAGGAAACTTGAAACATCAGTGCTAGGCAAGAGAAACCAGACACAAAAGGTCACATATTATATGATTCCATTGATATGAAATATCCAGGCTAGGCAAACCATAGACACAGAAAGCAGATTAGTGTTTTCTAGAGGCTGGGTAGCTACTGTGGAGTTAATGCTGAATGAGTAAAGGGTTTCCTTTTGGGATGATGAAAATATTCTGGAACTAGAGAATGGTGATGGTGAATGTACTAGTCACTGAATTGTACACGTTAAAATGGTTAAAATGGTAAAATGGTAAATTTTACATTGTATTTTACAGTAAGTTATTTTTAAAAGTTTTACAAAATTTTCTTACAAAAATTAGAGGATGTGAGAATCTGTTCTATTTAGTTTGTAAAAACTATCAAATTTTAATGTGTCTCTATAGCACATTCTTATATTCTACATCAAAAAGGTTCTACAAGCCTTAGCCAGTTTGGCTCAGTGGATAGAGTGTCAGCCTGCGAACCAAAGGGTCCTGGGTTTGATTCCGGTCAAGGGCATGTACCTTGGTTGCAGGCTCCTCCCTGACCCAGGCCCTGGTCAGGGCATGTGCAGGAGGCAACCAATAGATGTGTTTCTCTCACATCGATGTTTTTGTCTTTCCCTCTCTCTTTTACTCTCTTTAAAAATCAATGGAAAAATATCCTCAGGTAAGGATTAAAAAAAATAGTTCTACAAAAAAAAAAAGTTAGATTTAATTTTTTACTATGCCAGACAAAAATTCTAAGGACTATCCTACATAATAAAGAGCTAATATGCCAGTGATGGCGAACCTTTTGAGCTCGGTGTGTCAGCATTTTGAAAAACCCTAACTTAACTCTGGTGCCGTGTCACATATAGAAATTTTTTGATATTTGCAACCA